TTGGTGCAACCAATATGGAGAGTATATGGAGATTCCTCAGAAAATTTGGAATAGAACCACCATTTGACCTAGTTATCCCACTCCTCAGCTTATACACAAAGGACTTAAAAATGGTATACTACAGTGATGCAGCCATATCAATGTTTATAGCATCTCAATTCACAATAGCTAAACTATGGAACTAACCTAAATGCCCTTCAACAGATGAATTGATAAAGAAAATGTGGTACATATACACAATGGAATATTACAAAGCCTTAAATAAGAATGAAATTACAGCATTTGCAACAAATGGATAGAGCTGGAGAACATCATGCTAAGAGAAATAAGCCAACCCCCCCCAAACCAAAGGCCAAATGTTTTCTCTGATAAGTGGATGCTGATCCATAATGGGGGTGGGGTAGGAAAGAATGAAGGAACTTTGGATTAGGCAGAGGGGAGTGAGGGAAGAGAAGAGGATGTGAGGATGGGAGGGACGGTGGAATGAGATGGACATTATTACCCTATATACATGTATTATTACGCTACTGGTGTGACTCTGCAGTATGTATAGCCAGAGGAAGAAGTTGTGCTTCATTTGTGTACAATGTGTCAAAATTCCTTCCAATGTCATGTGTAACTAATTAGAAAAAAAAAATTTTAAAAAAAGAACAATCTAGACAGAGAAATGTTTACTTTGGGCCCATGGTTTCAGATATTCAGTCCATGGTCAGTCTGATCCATTGCTCTGGGCATAAGTAAGGCAAAATATCATGGCAAAGGGCATACTGGTGGAAAGCTGCTCAGCTCATAGAAGCCAGAAAAAGAGAAAGAGAGGGGGAAGCCAGGAAGAAAAGATCCACAAGGGCATGCCCCCAATGACTTGCTTCCTCTAGCTGTGCCCCACTTGCCTATAGTTACCACCCAGAAATTGAACAGACAAACCAAAACAGAAAAATCATATGATCATTTCAAAAGATGGAGAAAAAGCATTTAACAAAATTCAACACCTATTTCTGACTAAAAAAAAAAAAAAAAACAGGGATGCTGTGTTGTGGCTCACCAGTAGAGTGCTTATCCAGCATGTGCGAGGCACTGGGTTCAATCCTCAGCACCACATAAAATAAATAAAAAAATAAAGGTATAAAAAATACAAATACAAATACAGATAGAAGTAAGTCATCAACCTGATAAACAGCATATATGAAAAGCCTACATCTATCAATATCATACTCTTTTGAGATAAGAAAAAGGCAAATATATCCACTCTGTTCAGTTCTATTCAACACTATACTGTAGGTTTTAGTCCATGAAATAATACAAGAAAAGAAGTAAAGGCACCTATAGTGGAAAGAAGTGAAACTATCACTTTTCACAGATGACTTGATTGTCTATGTAGAAAAGTTTACAGAATCTACATAAAAATGTACTAGAAGTAATAAATGCGTTTTGCAAAGTTATGTGATAGAAAATAAACATACAGATGTCAACTGTATTTCTATATGGTAGGAAAGAACTACTGGAAATTGGAATTTTAAAATAACTAATAGCATTTAAAATAGCATAGACATATGAGATGTTTATGGATATATTTGACAAAATGTGTGTAAGAATTATATTCTAGAAAACTACAAACACTACTGAGAGAAAGATCAAATAAATGGAAAGATAACTTGTTAATGGATATAAAAACTCAGTACTAAGATATCAATTCTTTTCATATAGGTATATGGATTTGGTTCAATCTAAATCAAAATCCCAGGTTTTTCATGGTAAAAATAAACAAATTGATTCTAAAATTTATATGGAAATCCAAAAAATCTTGAATAGCCAAAACAATTGTGGAAAAGAATAACATTGGGGGTTGGGGTTATGACTCAGAGGTAGAGTGCTTGCACATGTGGGGCCCTGGGTTCAATCCTCAGCACCACCTAAGACAACAAAATATTTTTTTTAAAAGAATAACATTGGAAGATTTACACTGTCTGACTTCATGTCTTAATAGAAAGCTACAGCAATCACTAATCCTATGGCAATACAGAGGCTACAGAAAAGTCAATTGAAGTGGTGGCACTACAATAGGCCAAAAAAATCACAGAAATACTTCCAGATATTTTATAGAAGTGCCAAGACAATTCAATGTATTATCTTGTTTCAACAAATGGTACTGGAATGACTGGGTTTGTAACTCAGTGGTAGAGTGCTTGATTAGCATGTATAAGGCCCTGGATTCCATTGCCAGCACTGCAAAACAATCACACACACACACACACAAATGGTGCTGAAACAACTGGACAGCCATATGGGAAAAAATGAACCTCTTTCAGAAAGGATTTATATCATATAAAAATTAAATAAAAATGTATCAGAGAACCAAATATAAGAGCCAATATCATAAAACTTTTAGAAGAAAGTACAGTATAAATCTTACTGACATTTGATATTCAAAACTTTCTTGGCCAGGAAGCAAAAAGCACAATTGTTTTTATATATATATAAAAGAAAACAGAAAATATACTAGTGGTCAAGTATATGGGAAAAAAACTCAATATCACTAATCATCAGGGAAATTTAAACAAAAATCAAAATTAAATATTATTTCACCTCAGTTAGAATGACTATAATAAAAAAGACAAGAAATGACAAATGCTGATTAGGGGGTAGAGAAAAGGGAACTCTCATACACTATTGGGGGGAATATAAATTAGTACAGCTATCACAGAAAACCATATGATGGTTTCTCAAAAACTTAAAAGTAGAAGTATCATATGATCCAGCAATCTCACTACTGGATATATATCCAAATGAAATAAGAGGAGTATATCAGAAGAATATCTGCACTCCCATACTTATTACAGCACTATTCACATTAGCCAAGATATATAAATGGATTTTTTAAAATCTTGTATGTATATATATATATATATATATATATATATATATATACACAATGTAATATTATTCAGAGATTAAACAAGGAACAAAAATTCTGTCATTTGTGGCAGCATGTATAGATCTGGAAAGCATAATGCTAAATGAAATGAGCCAGACATAGAAAGACAAATACCACATTACCTCACTCGTTTTTAATCTAAAAAAACTGAGCTCATAGAAGTAGATAGCAGAATAGTGGTTAACAGAGGTTGGGGAATGTAAGGGAGAAGGGGTGATTGGGAGACATTGCTCAATGGGTACAAAATCATAGATTGGAGGAATAGTTTCTGGTGTTCTATTACACAAAAGGGTAATTATGATGAACAACATTGTACTATAGGACTTAAAATAGCTAGAAGAGAGATCTCTGAATATACTCATCATAAAGAAATGATAAATGGGGGCTGGGGCTGTAGCTCCATGGTTGAGCACTTGCCTCACATGAGTGAGGCACTGGGTTCAATCCTCTGCACCACAAAAAATAAATAAATAAGATAAAGATAGTGTGCCCATCTAAAATCAAAAAAAAAAATTAAAACGAAATAATAAATGTTTGAGATGATGGATAATATAAGTATCCTGAGTTGATCAATGAACAATGTATAAATGCACTAAAACATCACACTTTACCCCATAAAGATATATAATTAATATGTTAATAAAATGAATTAGACTAAAATTAAAATATTTTGCTCTTATTTAATTTAAAAGGCAAATGTGGGAGAAAATGTTTGCAAAGTATATATCCCACAAAAGACTTATAACTAGGATATATAAAGAATGCTTATAGAGGCTGGTGCTATAACTCAGTAATAGAGCATTTGTTTGTTTGGTTGGTTGTTTTTTTTTTTTTGGTTTGTTTGTTTGTTTGTTTTTGCCTAGCATGTGTGGGGCACTGGGTTTGATCCTCAGCACAACATAAAAATAAGTTAAAAAAATAAAGGTATTGTGTCTATCTGCAACTAAAACAAATATTTTTGGAAAGGATGCTTACAGGCTGGAGATATAGTTCAGTTAGTAGAGTGCCTGCCTTGCATGCACAAGGCCCTGGGTTTAATCCCCAGCACCACCAAAAAAAAAAAAAAAAGGAATGCTTACAACTCAATAAGACAACCATTTATTTATCTATCTACTTATTTATTTATTTTGGTATTAGGGATTGAAACTAAGAGTGCTTTACCACTTCTAAATTGCTTGGGGAAAGAAATGCAAGTGTCATAGAAGTTAGCATTTCAGGCTTCATGTTATATGTTTATTAATGTTTTTTATACCAGGTTATTTTTGAAATAAATGCCACATGATTCTGCTAAAAAAATAAAAAACAAATTGCTTGGGGCCTTGCTAAGTTGCTGAGACTGGCTTTGAACTTGCTATCCTCCTGCTTCGGCCTCCCCAGCTGCCAGGATTATAGGCATGTGCCACCATGCCAGTAAGATGATCCATTTTAAAAATGGACAGATAACTGGGCATGATGATACTGCCTGTAGTTCCAGCTACTCAGGAGGCTGAGGCAGAAGTACTTAAGCCCACAAGTTAAAGACCAGTGGGGTAACATAGTCTGACTCCATCTAAAAAATAGGCAAAATATTTTAGAAGATACATTAACCAAGATGACATACAGAGAGCAAATAAACACATGAAAAGACGCTCAATAACATTAGTTATTAGAGAAGTATAAATTAAAACCAAAGTTGGACAACACTACAGTTCCACTACAATGGCTAAAATAACAACAACAACAAAAACAAAAGAATAATAATTTTATCCAATGAGGGCAAAGATACACACCACTGAAACAGTTTTGTGTTTAAATATAAAATGGGGGGCTGGGGCTGGGGCTCAGCAGTAGCGCCATTGCCTGGCATGTGTGAAGCACTGGATTCAGTTCTCAGCACCACATATAATAAAAAATAAATAAATAAAGGTCTATCAACAACTAAAAAAACTATTAAAAAAAGAAATATAAAATGGTACTTTGGAAAACAGTTTGCAATTTCTCAAATCATTAACTATATACCCACCACATGACCAAGCCATCCACACCTAGGCATTTATGCAACATAAATGAAAATGATAGCCAAACAGACTTGTATGAAAATGTTCATATTAATTTTATTTGTAATAGTTAGAAACAAGATAACCAATTGCCACCAATACATAAATGGATAAACAAACTTTGGTACATACATACAATGTAATACCATTTAGCAATAAAAAGCAATGAATAAGGATACAAATAACAACACAAATGAATCTCAAAATAATTATCTTGCTGAACAAAGTCAAACAAGAGTGCTTACCATATAATTTTATTTATATAAAATTACAGAAAATGCAAACTAGTCTATAATGACAGAAAATAGATCAATGGTTGCCTATGGATGGGGAAAAGGTAATAGAGAAAGAAGGACTAGATGACAAAAAGGCATAAGAAACTTGTTGCGGGAGTGGATATATTCATTTTTATTGTAGTGATGAAAGGTGCACACATCAAAACTCATCAAATTGTATACTTTAAGCAAGTGCCATTTAGTATATGCTAATTAAACCACAATGAAGCTGTAAAATATATTTCAGAGACAATGGAAAAAAACTGAAAATGAATTGGACATGAGACATTATCAAATTAGATTGATATGATATTCCAGTTTTGGGGAGAACATTATTATTTTTAGGACATGGATGCTCAATTATTTAGGGGTATAATGTTACAATGTCTACAACTTACTATTGATATTTCAGGAAAATTTTATATATACATTGTTAAACCTAGATGAAAGTTATATGGATGTTTATTATACAGTTATTTTAATATTTCTACATGATTGAAAATGTACATGATTAAAATGTGAACGAAAATGCTATTAATATTGTTTTATTGCCCATCCTCTTCTTCAAATAGAGACATTATTTTTACTACCCTGGAACGTTACCAAATCTACTCTGGGAATGTCTCTAGAAAGAAAAGAGACATTCTCTATCTCCACTATCTTGAAATGTAAATAAATCTGAACAAATTGGTTGTTAAAGTATAAACATTAATAACTTCATACAGAATTATCTTCTAATAGGAGGCTAGAGTCAATCACACTAATCCAAGAAGAATAATGATATGAAATGAACATGGAGTGGTACAAAATAAATGTAGAAGATGACAAAGCTATCTTACATAATTGACATCCCTTTAAGAGAAAAACTGGATCAGATAAAAAGTTATGCAAAATAAAACTTTCATGAAATTAATAACCATAATGGCTTACTATAACCCAGGTAAAATTAATACAAAAGATCAGGATTTATGGGTGTGGCGGTGCACGCTTGTATTCCCAGTGACTTTGGAGGCTGAGGCAGGAGGATTACAGGTTTGAGGCCAGCATCAGCAATTTAGCAAGACCCTGCCTCAAAATGAAAACTAAAAATGACTAGGAATGTAGCTCAGCAGTAATGTGCCTCTGGGTTAAATCCTTAGTGCAAAAAATAAATCAGGACCAAGATACGTGCTTCCATAAAACTTAATTTCAGGGCTGGGGTTGTAGCTCGGTGGTAGAGTACTTGCCTAGCATGTGTGAGATACTGAGTTCAATTCTCAGCACCATATATAAATAAAAAAAAAGGTCCATCAACAACTAAAAAATATTTTAAAAAAGAACTTCAAAAATTAAAAAAAATATCATATGGCAGAAAGGCACATCATATAATGTACAAGGAAAAAAAGAGCAAGTTTGTGTAAGACTTCTCACTGGCATCACTCACTTTTAGAACAACACTTATCAAGTTCAAGTTCTCAGGAAAAGAAAGTGTAACTATCAATTGGGAAAGCATAATCAATATGAATATTATGGAATAAGGGTTTTTTTCATTTTTGGTGGTGCCAAGGATTGAACCCAGGGCCTCAACCATGTTAGGAAAGCACTTTGCCACTGAGCTATATCCCTGTTGTGGAATAAGGAATTTTAAAATATTAATTAGGCCATGCACAATTTATAGGAGTATCCGGGAGTATAAAGCTAAGAAGAGGGGGCTGGGGTTGTGGCTCAGTAGTAGAACGCTCGCTTAGCATGTGTGAGGCCCTGGGTTCAATCCTCAGCACCACATATAAATAAAATAAAGGTTCATTGACAATTAAAAAAATTTTTTTTAAAAAGATAAGAGGGGGGCTGGAAGGTTCTAGAAACCATTGGAATGGGTGGGATAATCAGAGCTTTCAGGAATATCTGAGGAGCTAGAACATCTAATTACTGAAGTGGGACTGTGAATGGGAAGTGATAAAATCTACAAGAAGCTGTTCCCTTTGTGGGTCTGCACCCAAGAAGGTGGTGGGCCTGGGGCCACTGTCAGCAGCATTGAGATGGAAAGAAGGGCTGGATATAGAGTGGAAGAGTGAGGAAAAAAGAAAACTTGCTGGATACCTCTGCATCTGTCCTTCAGTGTATATAATTTCAAAGACTTTTAGAGGGGAAGTTGCTCCTTCCTTTTGTCCTCCCAAGTCTCATATAAATTCTACTTCTTGCCAATCCTCATTTCTCAGTTTAACCCAGACAACACAGAGCAATCCAGCCCAATGACCTAGTATTTTTTCTACCAGAAGTCACTTTATGATGAATTCAGAAATTCCTTCAGGTTTCCTCAATTGCTTTCCTTAAATTCATTTCCAAAATAGCACTCATCCAAGTCAACAATGGCGTATCTGTTACAAAATCAGCAGTTTTCTGCTCTCATATAACCTGACCTCCATTCTGGACATACCCTCCATTGAAACATATCTTGGAAACACTCTTCTGTGAGCTCCTTTCTCACTTGGCATGTTTTGACCTCTCTGGGTGCTCCTTCTCATTATCTACTACAGATGGATCCATCTTGGCCTATTCCTCAAATGTTGATCATATAAGCCTTATTCTGAGGCTTGCGTTTTGCTTTTTATACCACATTTCTCTTCAGGTAGTTGGATGAGATTTAAATGTCATAGACATTCTCAAATCCCACTGCTTTCCCAAGCACAGGAAGTCATATGGAGACCTAAGCAAGTACAGTAAAGGAGATGTATCTAATAGTCATTAAGAACCTCTTTCCATACAAAGTTCTAAGTGCCTTACACAAATAAATCCATTAACTTCTTGATATGAGTTGAATTGTGTCCTCCTAAAAAGATATGTGGAAATCATAACCCCCAGTACCTCAGAACATAACCTTATTTGGAAATTGTCTTTACAGAGGCTATCAGATTAAAAAGAAGTTATTAGGGTAGGAACTAATCTGATATACTGGTATTCTTACAAAAAAGGAAAATTTAGACACAGAGACAGATGCATGATGACCTCAGGGAGAAATCAGCCATATCAATGGACTGATGTATCCACAAGCAAAGTAACACACAAAACAACCAGCAGTTAGAAAAGAGGCATAGAATAGTCCCTTCCCTACCATTTTCATAGGTTACAACAGGGCCCTGATGACACCTTGATTTTGGACTTCTAACCTCCAGAACTGTGTATAATAAAGTTCTGTTGGTTTAGGCCACTCTTTTCCTGGTACTTTGTAAAGCAGTCCCAGGAAAAGAGTATGCTTCGTAGTGAAATCTAAGATAGGTAACTAGTGTGAACATCTTTATAGCTGAAAAAATCAGGAAAGAGAAGTTAACTAACCTGTCCGAGGTTACACAGCTAAAAATTGGTAAAGCAAGGACTGATAACTCTGGCATGAGCCTAGGCAAGCTATTTCTTCACACGTGTGTGTGTGTGTGTGTGTGTGTGTGTGGTGGATCAGAACCAGGGTCTCAAATATGATAGTCAAGTGCTCTACCACTGTGCTACATCCCCAGCCCAACTCCTTAATATTCTTAGTAACATTTTCCTAATGACAAAAATTTGAAGAAATTTTAATATGCAAATAATGGCATAGATTCTTGCATATCCACCCCACAAACTATCATGCAACCATTCAAAAGAGAGTTGTTGAGTAATAAAGCAAGATTCAGAGATAGTAGTATGCATTAAAGAAGAAAGCAATCCTTATATAGTTTCTATACAATTATAAGCATACTCACATATGTACATCTATACAGGTTTATTAGCAAGACTAAAACATGGAAGTGTTCATAGTAGTTGATTAGTATTGGTTATCTGTTGGGGAAGAATAGTGGAGGATAAAATTCACTGAATAGTAAATTTATCAGCTAGGTTTTTTTCTAGGTAACAAGCCACACAAACTTAGAGACTTAAAATAAACATTGTAATCCATTATTCTGTTAGTTGTCTGGGATGGGTAGAATAGATGGCAGAGCCTTCCTTGTCTGGGCCAATATATTACTAATCTATGACTATGTAACAAATCACCCTAACATTTGTCAGCTTAAAACAACATTTATTAACTCACAATTTCTGTGGGTCCCCTTCAGGTATGGCTCAGAAGTATGCCTGTGGCTGAAGATTTCTCATGAGGTTAGTAAAGCTATCGGGCTTGAAGGTCCCACCTGAAGGCAACACTGGGGAAGGATATCCTCTCAAATTCACTCACATGGGCCTTTGTAAAGGGCTACTTAATGAGATGGCAGCTGTCTTCCCCTAGGATGAGCCATCTGAGAGATTAAAGGAGCACCCAAAACAGAAGCCACAGTCTTTTTGTAACCTAATCTTGGAAGTGACATCCATTACCTCCGCCTTATTCTAGAACCAAGTCATTAAATCTAGCCCAAATCAAGGAGAGAGAATTATACAAGAGTATGAATACCACGAGTGAGGGATCATTCAGGATCAGCTCAGAGACTGCTAACCATAGTTACCTTGATCAGAGATACCTGGCTGGGATGTCTTCATTTACATATTTGGTAGTTGAAAATCTGGTTGGTCGAGCTGCCTCAGTTGGGATGAATCATATCTGCTCCATCACTGCTCCAAGTGGTCTGTCATTTTCCAACTTCATAGTCCCTGCCTTTTCACACATGGGCTTAGGATTCCAAAGAGCAGCAAGAGTGGGCAAACTTCAATGTGCAAACACTTCTTATAAGTTCTTGTGTCATATTTGCTAATGTTCCATTATCCAAAGAAATGGACAATTCTAATAAACTGTTAAAGGCTGAGAGTGGGATAGTGAGAATATAGAACCCCTGAGAGCTGTAGACCTAAGGGCTGTTGGCTCCCACCTGCAGGCTCTTCACCACAGACTTCCACTGGGTGCTCATAAGAAACACTAGTAGTAGAGTGGGAAAGTAGAGAAGGCATCCTTCCATGGGGTATGCCACTAGGGGGGATGAGTGCTGATACAAAAATGATACAAAATCCCAAGGGACCCTATTCTATCAAACAAAAACCTTAAGCCATTTAGTGCAGTGCAGCAAACCCTGTCACTCTCAGGATACAGGTGAAGATCCACTGTGACTAGAGGAAAGGAAAAGAAAAAAAAAAATCTACCCATGATGGAATGGGAGGAAACTATCTTGGGCCAGACAATAAAATACCTCTTACCAGTGGAAGAGGGGCAGGATCACTGGGAAAAAAAATGTTAAGACCCAGGGACACAGGACAACTTCTGTGTCCCATACCAAGTTAGCAAGAACCGAGTAACAGCAGCAGTCTAAGTGGGCACAGTGATGCATGCCTGTAATTCCAGTAATTTGGGAGGCTGAGGCAGGAGGATCATAAGTTTAAAGCTAGCCCAGGCAACAGAGAGACACTTTCTGCCCCCCACCCCCAATTAAAAGGGCTGGGGATATACCTCAAGGGTAAAGTGCCCCTGGGTTCAATCCCCAGTTCCAAACAAACAAACAAAAAACCAGAAATCAACTACTAAGAGAGAGATACAAGAATATAGAGAGACTATCACTGAGATGCAGAAACCCAGGAAAGGCCTAAAGGCAAGTACAGTCCAGGAACATTGGGAAAAATTCTCTGGAAAACCAGTGTCTACTTCAAACACAAGGTAACATTACAGGAATTTGAAGTCTATGTTACACTAAAATTCACAATAGCAACAACAAAACCAAAACCCTACCTGACCACTGACTGGATCAACTCAATGCCACCATGCTAATGCCTATCTATTAGAAGAGCAGCCATGTCTATTTCCAGGAATAAATACTTTTCATTTCAGTTTACATTGCCCTATATACAACATCCAACTTTCAGCTAAAACTTGTAGATGCAAAACAGCAATAGAAAGGAACCCACTGTCAAAAGACCGGAACTCGCTTGGCTGACTTACTGGAACTATCAGGCAGAGAACTTAAAATAAATTTGGCTAAATATATTAAAGGGTATTATAGACTGGATGTCTGTGTTCCCACAAAATTTGTATACTGAAATCCTTATCCCCAATGAGATGGTATCAGGAGGTGGGGCCATTGAGAGGTAGGTAGGTCATGAGGATGGAGGCCTCACAAATGGGATTCATGCCCTTATATAAAGGACCCCAGAGAGCTTTCTAGTGAGGATATGAAAATCAGAAGCCAAGTAAGGATACAATGAGAACCTGGTAGTCTACAATCCAGAAAAAGGTCCTCACCAGAACCTGATCATATTGGTACCTGATCTCAGACTTCTAGCCTCCAGAACTGTGAAAAATAATTTTCTGTTGTTTATAAGCCATCCAGTCTATAGTACTTTGTTACAGTAGTCCAAACTAAGGAAATAGTGGAAAATGGGAACAATGTGAATGAACAATTGGGGAAGTTTTGCAGAAATATAAATGATATAAAAGTCAAATGGAAATAGTAAATATAAAAAATAAAACATAACTGAAAAAATGCTTTCAACAGGTTCATCAGTATACCTGACAGAGCCAGGATCTTGGGAAATCAGTGTTCTTGAAGATAGATTAACGTAAGTTATTCCAAATGAAATGCAAAGAGAAATAAAAGCTGAAAAGGACACACACATAGAGATAGGAAACATGTAACATTTTTCTAACACAGTGTATGTTCTGATGACAAATTATTCACATTATCACCCCATGCAAAACATGATCACTCCCATTCCAGGATCTCTAAATATCCCATCCCAAATCATGGTATCAGGTTTAAATCCAGGATTCCAAGTCTTCTATACCAGGTTCACATGTGGCCGAGGCTCTTTGAATACAGTTTCTCAGTTTCTTGATCCTGTGAGCTAAATGACAAGTTATTTGACATGCCTCTCTCAAACACACACTTAAGATATACATGGGGAGAAAGAGACTAACTGCAATAGGTACTCCCATTCAGCCAGGAGAGCAGTAAGAGGCATGTGTCAGTCACTGTTCCATAACAATTCTGAAATACCACAGAGAAAATGTCAGGTCCCCTTGCTCCAGGGGCAGATAGTGTTTTTTGATTAGGGCAAGTTTTTCCTGGAAATGGCTTTCCAGTCCATTTTAATACACTGTTCTTGGGCCTTTCCTCTGACACATCCTTCAGTTCCCATAAGAAATGGTCCATACTTGTAGCTGAGTAACATTGTTGTCTTGCATCCAGTTCACAGAAGTTAGGGAGGAATTTCCAGAGGCCATTTTTCATTTTTAATTGTTTCAGTTCCTTTAAGGCCAGTATGGAGGTAGTTCCACAGGTAAAACTCAATTAAAAACTATGAGTTTCCTATGAATATGTTCAGGTCAACTCTATGCCCCAAATGCCACATCAACAATTCTTTTTTGAGAAGCCTCTTTCTACTTAGAGCAGTGTCAGGCTACTGTGGAATCATGTCACCAAGATTTTTAGACACCCATTATTTCACTGAGAGGGTTTTCCAAGCACCAATAAAATATAATATTTCAAACATTGTAATAAAGGGTTTTACAGACATACCCATGACTTGATATTTACCCTACAGCCATTTTGTATCTTGAGAATATTTTCATGGCTAAAGAGCTAAAGTTATTTCCCAAAACTGCTGCTTGCCAGGGGAACAAGTATTTCTTTAATTCATTTCTCTCATTCTGTACCTTATCATATGTGGTTAAAAGCAGCAAAATGACAACCATATTCCATGGCAAATCTCTTAGTCAGATCCACAAGTTCATTTGGTACCTTCTCTATAGTCCCACAGAGCATGGTGATGATTTGCTATTTTTTCCTTTCTAATAGGTTGTCATTTTCCCAGATTTTGCAAACAGATTTCCTCATTATTCTCCAGTCTCTATTAGATTAGCTTCTCAGGCCCAAAGCCAATGCCATATTATATTTGGGTATAATACAATTCACACACATATACTTTTAAGTATTATTTAGAATTTGATATGCAACAAACTACCCCAAAATATAGCTGCCTAAAACAATGATCACTTATTTAACTCAGAATTCTGCAGGTTGGCTGGTATAACTGACATGGCAATTTTGGGCTGGGCTGGTTTGGCTGGGGACATAGACTTAGGATGGACTCATTCCCAAGCCCATAGGTAAATTGATCTATGGGGCATCAGCTAAGCTGGCTCACCTCTGTTCTATGTGGCTTCTCATCCCACAGTAGGGCATCTGTGCTTCTTAACATTGAGATCTCAGGATTCCAAAGAGCAGCACAAAAGGGTAAGCCTCAAGGCAGGCTTTCACACTTCTCCAGCCTCTTCTTGAATCTCTTTGCTAATGTCCATTGGCCAAAGCAAATCACATGGCCAAGTTGAAAGTCAAGGAGCAACGGCAGATAAGAAGTACTCTGTGTTAGCTTTTTGTTGCTATAAACAAAATACCTGACAAAACCAATCTAAAGGAGGAAAAGTTTACTTCCGGCTCATGGTTTCCAAGGTTCTGTCCGTGGTCAGCCACTTCCATCACTCTGGGCCTGTGGTGAGGTGTAGCATAATGACTAAAGAGTGCCCTGGAGGAAGGCTATCAGCTCATAGTGACCAGGAAGCAGAGAGAAAGGGGGGAAGGGGCTGCAGGGAAGACGAACTTTCCAGGTCATACCCCCAGTGACCCACCTCTTTGAGCCATGCCCTACCTACATACAGCTATCACCCAGTTAGTCCATTCAAACTAGGATGGGCTGGTCAGGTTATAGCTCTGATAATCTAATCATTTCACCTCTGAACATTCTTGCAGTTAACACAGGGGCTTTTAGGGGATACTTCATATCCAAGCTATAATATACTTAATAAGAGAAACAACAAGGTACCATTGCAAAAGGGGCCACGCATAAATGGATGGGAGGAATCTGTGGCTATTTTGCATTGTATACAATGAAAGAAGAATACTATGTCATGGAAAACAGTATGAAAACAGTATATGTTCATATAAAATTATATCTGCAGATGTGCGTATATAAAAAGCCAAAATAACTTTAAACTTATGAATTCATCTGATAGATATGTTCAATAACAAACATTTGATAAACATTCTAAATTTTAAAAAAGAATTTCAATTCAATTATGCAATATGTTATGCAATATTTTACCACAAACAGCGAAAAGAACTGAAGAGGTCTGCACAACGAATACATTATTTTCTTGTTAAACTGCTTACTATAACATAGAAAACATGACTGTCATTTCTATAAATTTGCATCCTCCAACCTATAAAGCATTTGGTAATAATTTGCCTCATGATACTTTCTATAGGAAGGATTTTCCTAATGTACCAAACTGATAGCATTCTCAATGTTAATTCTATTGTATTTTGTGAGGCTGTGTAAATGTTAAATTCACCCCCCACCCTTTTTAAATATCTTTTAGTTGTCAATGGACCTTTATTTTGTTTATTTGTATGTGGTGCTGAGGATCAAACCCTGCGCTTCACACATGCTAGGCAAGCGCTGTGTCACTGAGTCACAACCCCAGCCCCCAAATTCCCCTTTCTTCAATGTATTCTTATAGGGTCTCTTCTAATTTTTTTTTTTCATCTCAGGTGAGATAGCCTGATGAATGCTTTTTTTAATACAGTGTACTCATACAAGGTCTGTCTTAGATGAATTTTATAATACATGAGTAGACCTGACTTCTACGGTAAGGCTCTCTCATTTTTAAGAAACAGGGTTATTTCATGTATGAATATTGCGATGCATACTAAGAACGGATTTCTGGGTGAAGCCCTTTCCACAGTCATTGCATTTATAGGGTTTATCTCCAGTATGAATTGTCTGATGTTTATTGAAATTTGACCTGTCAGTGAAGGCCTTCCCACACTCTGCACATATGTACGGTTTCTCTCCTGTGTGAATTCGCTGATGTACTTTGAGATGTGGTTTCTTGGAGAAGGATTTCTCACAGTCAGGACATTTATAAGGCTTCTCTGTAGTATGAATTCTCTGATGTGTAATTAACTCTGACTTCTGGATGAAGGCTCGTCCACAATCAGCACAAACATAGGGTTTTTCTCCTGTATGAATGGTCTGGTGTTTATTGAAATTTGACCTGTCAGTGAAGGCCTTCCCGCATTCAGCACATATATAAGACTTCTCTCCAGTATGAGACTTCTGGTGAGTATTGAGATTTGACCTGTTGGTGAAGGCCTTCCCACATTCATTGCATATATAGGGTTTTTCTCCTGTGTGAATTCGCTTATGCATCTGGAGTTGGGACTTAGAAGGAAAAGATTTCCCACAATCACTGCATTCATAAGGCTTCTCTCCGGTATGAATTCTTTGATGTGCAATCAAGTGGGCCTTCTGGATGAAAGCCTGTCCACATTCAGTGCATATATAGGATCTCTCTCCTGTGTGAATTCTCTGATGCATCCTGAGTGTTGACTTCTGGGTGAAGGCTTTTCCACACTCACTACATTTGTGATGTCTCTCTCCAGTATGGATTTTCTGATGTATATTGAGTGCTGAGTTCAGGGAAAAGCCTTTCCCACATTCACTGCATTCATAGAGTTTTTCTCCAGTATGAGTTGTCTGATGCCTGAGTAGAGATGACAGCTGGAAAAATGACTTTCCACATTCAGTGCATTTATAGGGTTTCTCTCTAGTATGACTTTTCTCATGCATCATTAATTCTGAATTCTGGAGGAAAGCCTTTCCACATTGAGAACATATGTATAGTTTTTCATTTCTATGAACTCTCAGATATATACTGAGTAGTGGCTTCTGTGTAAATGCATTTACACATTTGTTAAGTTCATGAGGTTTTTCCACAGTATGAATTTTTGGAGGTGCAAAGAGATACGACTTTTGGGTGAAGATCTTTCCAAATTCAGCACATGTGCTTGCTTTCTCCCCAACAGGAAATTTCAGATTTTGACTGAGTGCATGTTTGAGGACTTTTTCACACTGATCACTTTCGCAGAACTTCACTCCCATATGTGAATTTTCATGGTTAGTAAAGGAAGTGTTCTGGGTGAAAACTTGACCATGACTAACAATTTTATCAAAGTTCTTTGTTGTATTGTTTTTATTATGAATATGTAAGTCCATATTATGCCTAAAACGTTTTTCAAATGAGTCATGTTTATGGGGTCTTTTCTGTGAAGGAATGAGATTTGGGCTTGGATGTACACAACTTCCAATGTCTGTATATTCATAATCCCATTCTGTGTTCAATATTTTCTTATTGATAAAATCAGTGTGATTCAAAGGGCTGTTCTGTTTTTCCTGGCATATTTTTATCTGTTCAGCATCTTGCCACAGTTCTTCTAAAACGGAATACAGTGAATCATCTCTTGTATCTTTATCCTCTATTTCACTATGAAATGTAGTTTTTGCAGAAGTACTTTTTTTTGAGTTCTTAATTCCAAACTTCCCACCTAAAGACAAATAAAAATGAAAAGTGACATGAAGAATAGATAGCAGAAGATTAAAGGATACACACAATCTTATCCAAATTAAACCCATGGGAATATGATGATGATACCATGAAATACATATATAGCAATTATTATATACCAACTTCTTATGTGACACAATATTCCAGGTCCTATTCTAATACATACATACAAATACATTTAATCCTTTAAAACACTCTATAAGGTATTGACCATTATCATTCACCTTTTATAGATAATAGAAATGAAGCACATAATGGTCATATAATTTGCAGTAAAACACTGCTCTTAAATATTGGAGATTCAAGTTCAATCTAAGCAGTCTAACCCTATTTTGGTAGGAAGCTTGGCTATCAAATAGGATGGACAGAAGATTTATAAGACAAGGACTTTAAGGGAAAATATCTGTGGAGAGACTATGCAGAGAGAAGGTGAATCAGAGTCTTAGTCTTCATTAGCTTGCAATTATAAATCCTCACTAGTCTCAATACTATATCTTGCTATTATCAGCAAAAAACACAAATTAATATGATAGAAAAGAACTTACTGATGTCCACAGGAAAAATATTGTGTTCATTACCATTATAATCAATACAAACAAAATGATTATCTACACTCCCATTTTCTATGCAGGTGAAACTGTTTTCTTGGACTTATGTTATATATATATATATTGTGTGTGTGTGTGTGTGTGTGTATTTGTAGAGAGATTAGGCTATCTGTGATAAAGACTGAAAGTTGCCCAGTAGAGTGTTTCCTCATCTTTGGCAATAACAGAATAGTAGTCAAGAAAATGGCTGCCCAGTCACTTAACATTTCTCAGCCTCCCTTGAAAATTGGTATGGCTATGTGACAGTGCTCTCATGAATGGAATGTGGGAGAAATGATGGGTGCCAATTGCAAACTAGAGCATTGAGATGGTAGGCAAATTTTCTCCACATCTGCTTCTACCTTCTTGCTTGCTAAAACCTGGATACCTCAGCAACACAGATTCAAACACACAGATTTCAAAAACATAAACAAGAAGAAGAAAAGATAGGAAAAGGTAGATTAATGTACTACAAGGAGCCTGGATTCCTGAATAAATATGAGCAATGAGATTTCCTATAAGTGTGAAATAAATTATTTATTTTTATGTTCTTATCGGCACCCCCTCAATCTATTGTGAGTCAGCATCCACATATCAAAGAGAACATTTGGTGTTTGGTTTTTTGGGGATTGGATTATTTCACTTAGCTCTCATGAGTTTTGATGTGTCATATTTTCATTCTGCTCAAAACATTTTCTTATTCATTTGTAATTTCTTCTTTGACTTACACACTATTGAGATAGCTGTTTCTTACTTTCTAAACATTCATAGACTTTCTACTTGTCTTTCTGTTCATATTTTTAATTCAACAGTACTTGAAGAACACAGTAGTATGTAATTTCAATCCTTTGAAATTTGTTATAACTAGCTTTATGTCTCCAAATAGTCTATTTTGGTGAGTATGCCATGTACCTTTGAAAATAAATGTGTATTCTATAGTTGTTGGATATAGTAACCAACATAATATGATAGGGATTTTCATGTTCAGATCTTCAACCTCTTTGCAGATTATTTTTTATTTTAAGACAGGGTCTTTCTAAGTTGCTGAGGTCTTCACTAAGTTGCTGAGGCTGGCCTTTAATTTGTGATCCTCCTGCCTTAGCTTCCCAACTCACTGGGATTACAGATGTACATCACAGTGCCTGGCCAGATTCTTTTGTCTACTTGTTCCAACAGTTATAGAAATAGAAACGCTAAAATCTCTAAAAGTGATTGTGCAATTTTCTAGTTGATAGTACTATCAATGTTTGCTCTATATATTTAGAGATTATATTATTAAGTGCATAAAAATTAGGTTTCTAATATATGACTGTAAAAATTTATCAACTGTAGAGAAAGAGGAAGCATCACTAAAGATATAACTGATATTAAAATTAGAATAAAAGTGTATTCTGAAAAAAGTTAATGCCCTAAATTTACAACTTAGTTGAAATGCATAAATTCTTTGGAAGAGTAACTTGTTAAAACAAAAAAGAAGTAGAAAATCTGAGTATCCCTATAAAAAAGAAACTGAATTAAAAATTAATGATAGCCCCACAAAGAAATTTTCAAATAATCCAGATGAGTCCATTGGTGAATTCTATCACATATTTAAGGAAAAATATAAGATTTAAGGCATTCTCACATAAAATCACAACAAGAGGAGTAAACAATGAAAAAATCTACCAAGTATAGCAATTTCAAACAAAATCTTTCAGAAAACAGAGCAAGCATGAAATGTACCAACTTATCTTATGAAACTACCATTAACAATATCAAAATCAAAGATATTATAAGGGAAATTTCCCCCAAATCTAAACACCAATGTCTCATAAACATGGAGATTAAGATCTTTACCAAATACTGCTAATTCAATAAAGGCATACATAAAGATGATAATATGCCAAAATCAAGTAATTTTCATTCCAGGAATACACAGTTAGTTTAACACCTGAAAAAAATCAATGAGATTTACCACATTAGTGGAAATAAAAGTTCACCTCAACATATGTAGAAGTAGCATTTGGAAATTTAACATCCATTCATGTTAAAGATTTTCTTTGAACTAGAAGTAGATAGAAATTGTCACAAATTAATAAAGGCCATCTAAGAAAAACCACAGATATACTTAATGGTGAAAGACTAAAAGTTATTGCCTTTAGACTGGAAATAAAATAAAAATAAAGGGCTTATATATTAATAAGATAATGATAGGAAGACAAGATAATGTACATAGAAAATTTTGGTTATTTGCCAAAAGACCTACTAGAATTAATAAGCAAATTTAGTAAAGTCTCAGAATACAATGTACAAGAATCAGTCATAAGATTCTAGTATGGAGAAGTAAGTTCCTTAAGAAAGATACCTCTGTGTTCATTAAACATATTTTCTATAAAAACAAAACCAACCAACAAACAAATATCAAAAGCAAGAAGACTTTGGGGGGGGGGGTCCAAAGATACATGAAGTTATCAGCACAGAGTTCCCTCTTCTTCTGGTTTATGTTCAAAGTAGCTGCACTTTTAGCAGCAATGTGAACCAGTTCAAATTCCCATAAAATCTTGTCATCCTGTTGCCAGAGGAACCAGGGGAGGAAGGCTGGGGTGCCCAGGGCCACTACAGATTAAGAGGGCAACCTCAAAAGAAAGAACAAAAAGAAAATGAATGCCAAATTCTCTGTGTACACTTTGCATGTGTCTCTGGCTGACCACTCCAATCTGCATGGTGGGGCAAACTAAAAGCTGCTGAACTAAAAGCTGAGTTGCTACCCACATTCCATGAGACAACATTTCCAGGTTGAGTGTAGCCTAGTTAATTGTCTGTTATGATAAGAACATTAACACTGGGTTCAGGTTGTAGTTCAGTGGCAGAATGCTTGCCTAGCACATGTGAGGCACTGGGCTCAATCCTCAGCACCATATAAAAGTAAATAAATAAGCTAGGCACAGTGGCGCATGCCTGTAATCCCAGCAACTCGGGGGGCTCAGGCAGGAGGATCATGGGTTCAAACACAGCCTCAGCAACTTAGCAAGAGCCTAAGCAACTCAGTAAGACCCTGTCTCTGATAAAATATAAATGAGGGGGCTGGGAATGTGGCTTGGTGGGTAAGCGCCCCTGAGTTCAATCCCTGGCACAAAAATAAATAAACAAACAAACAAATATTTCTTCTTCTGTGGGGGAAAAAAAATCTCCTCAGAATAATATAAAAGAATAAAGCTTTACTTTATTATAAAATAACATTGATAATATTTAGGACACAATCCCAAACTACTACATCCATATACAATAGGTGAGAAAAATATTCTTTTGATAACTTCCCAGTGTCTTCAGTAGTTTGTTTTAAAATATTTTCTATAGTTAACAGTTATTATCAGTTAGATGGGTTGGTCCAATAAAAAACAATTCAGTAATACTAGAACTTGAATTGTTGTATATGGTATGAGCCATGGATCAAAGTATTATTTTTTCCATTAATACTGATATCCATTTGTTCCGGCACAATTTACTGAAAAGACTTTCATTTCTCCCTTTGAAATGCATTGGCAGCTTTGTCAAAAATCAGTTGTATATGTTTGGGTCTAATTTTAGACTTTCTTCCGATCTCTTTACATATCTGTCTATCCTTATACCAATACCATATGGCCTGGATTATTGTTGCTTTACAGTAAATCTTTTTCTTTTTAAGTAAATCTTAACATTAGATATTGTCTATCTTCCATACTTTTTCTTCATTCTCAAGGCTCTGTTGGGTATTCTAGATCTTTTGCATATCCATATAAATTTTTAAATCTTCTTGCCATTTTTTACCCCAAAATTACACATAGCTGCTTGAACAAGTAGAAGACAAATCAGTAAGTGTTGGGTTAAATACTAATCTGTGCCTAGGAAAGCTCGCAACCTAGCCTATCTATTCCCCCTGCTTGTAGGCACAGTGTGGCCCTCCACTGTATCCCAGCCCACTGCCACTGAGGAGTAAGAAATACAATGTCCAAAACTTCTCTCTTGAGTTCTCCAAGTTCTTCCTTCGGAATTGGTAAACAGTACTAGGGAATTTCCAGCCCCGGGGTGGAACAATTGGCATAGTTGGCAGGACCCCAAAGGGGAACATGTTGAGTTGACTCTGGAATTGGGAAAGGGCAGACAGTCTGCGGGGCATATCCTGGGCTGGCCACCTGGATTTAGGTGGCTTCCTATTAGAGGGGTCTGGACCACTGGGTGGGTATGGAGATACTCTGAAAATGAAAAGAAGGGTGCTGAAAATGTTGGAAGCAGCATCCAAAGTAGTTGTAGGAAAGTGAAAGGAAATAAATAATGCCACTGTAGTGGTGGCAAGGCTCCTATCGGGTGCATTAAAGTTAGCCCCAGAACAGGAGCTAGCCACTCAGGCTCAGCTCTGCAGAGTACAAGAATAGTT